AAAACTTGGCTGATCTTGTCGGCTCCGCCGCTTTGTGCATGATACGGTAAAATTGGTATCTTGGATGAACGCAGGCTACCAGAGGGAGAGAAGGAGAGAGTGGACAATTAGAGTTTTGCAAACCTGGCGAGCCTTAATCTTGTAAGAAGTCTGCTCATGATTTTTTTTTCTCAATTTCTTATGGCGATTTCTTCACTACTTTTCAAATTTCATCATATGAAGTTCTTAGCATGGCATGGCGTTGAGCAGAACTTAGAAAGCGAAGAACTGTTTTGTATTCACGCTCACCGATTTGCATTCAGATTACTGATAGTAAACATCATGGGGAAGTAATGGTTTCTGCGGTGTAAATGTATGTTGATTTTGGTTGTATTTTGCAGCTGGGGGAGGCGGAAACTTATAATGTAGATGATGCCCTAATTGCTCTGGGATTTGGGAAGTTCCAAACCCTAGTGCTTTTTTATTCTGGGGTGGCTTATGCTGCAGAAGCAATGGAGGTGATGATTCTGTCTTTTATTGGCTCAGCTGTTCAGTCTGAGTGGAAGCTTTCTCCACGCGAGAAGAGTCTTGTTTCTAGTGCGGTGTTTGCTGGGATGCTTGTGGGAGCTTCTACTTGGGGTGTTGTTTCGGACAACTTTGGAAGGAGGCAAGTGAAGATTTTTATTCTTTGATTCTTTTGTGATTTTCTGTGTTTTTGTTCTGTTTTTTTGTCAATCAATTTTAGTTCATTGGCATTCTTTTGTGAATTTATGTCCTTTATTTCTTAATTTATAATGTTGAGATGAGAATGCTTAAGGGGATGGGTGGCTTTACACTTGGTGGCAAAATACAAAACGAATCGTGAAAGGATTGGTGTAGCTCCAGTGGCACATAAGATTAGAGAGAGAGTCATCTTTGATGGTTTGGCCACATTAAACATCGGCCATCTGATGATCGTGTTAGGAGAGTAGATCTTTTAGATTCTACTAATGTCAAGAAAGGGAGAGGTAGACCTAAAAAAATTTCAGCATATTGTATAGAAAATGATCTTGTTCTATTAGAATTAAATGAACATATGGCACTCAGTAGGATACAATGGAGAAAAAGAATTTATGTAGCCCACCTCAGTGGGATAAAAGCTTGTTGTTGCTGTTGTTGTCAAATTCGCTTAGGTTAATTATATTAGTTTTATATTGCCATTATTTATAGATCTTTGGACATTTTGTGGTCTTATAGATGATTGAACTTGTGATAATGTGTTTAGATTTGTGATAATTCCATGGTGATGTTTAGAGTGCAGTTAGTTTTTAGGAACGAAGATTTACATACATATCACTCAATTCTTTTGTATTTACATATCTTGCACCTAAACTTCAACTTTTAGATATATGCCACCTTGAGTATGAAAATGTGTAATTCACTTTTTAGAAGTGAAATTACTGGTATTTTTTATGTGATATAAGAGATTTGGGTGGTGTGGATGTAAGTGTTTAGTTGTTAAATATATAATATATAGGCATTGGATGGTATATATGTAACTGCCCTTTTTTATTTTGGGTTAGTAATAGAACTTTAAGTATTACAAAGCTATTTATACCTGTGTTTCATAGAAGTTAGGGCTATGAAATGTCCTTGTAATTGTACAAATATGTTTATTTCAAGGTACTTTTAAATAATGTGAGAACATTAAGCTTTGTTCAACCTATGATAGCTGAAAAATATATCTTTACGGATAGGTTGTGGGTGAAATATGTGCTAGATCTATTGCATGTCAATATTTTGAGTAAATAAGCTGAATGTCTTTTCCTTTGCTTTCATTCCAATAAATAATAGTCTATACAATCTATTTTAGGTACATAATATTCTGTATAAATTATGTTAGGTAACTTAATTAATACATATTCCTAATCTAAATATTCAGCTAAAAGGAAAGAATCTATGCAAATATAATATTTCATTCTTTGCAGCATTACGAAGAAGGAAACTCTTTATTATGTATGATTTCATTTACTCCTGATTGATTTTTTCCTCAAATTGATGCTGACTAATCAAAAAACATCAATTTGCTGACAAGAAACTGATGACGCTGTCAAGAAAGAACCTTAGTAAATATATAAGCCGTTTGAAGATCAGAAGTGATACGAGGAAGAGATATACCACCATCCTCATAGGCTTCTTGAATGGAATGACGATCCACTTCAATGTGTTTTATGCACTCATGAAAGACGGGATTAGCAGCAATCTGGATAGCGCTAGTATTATCTGCATAAAGAGAAGTAGACTCAAGCTGAGGAAAACCAAGCTTAGCCAACACTCCCCTAAGTCAAATGATCTTGGAACAAACAGAGGAAAAAACACAATATTTTGATTCAGTAGATGACTTAGACATTCGATCTTGTTTCTTGCTCTTCCAAGAGATTAAAAAGTTGAGAGATTAAACCAAGAGATTAAAAAGTTGCCAAGAAACATGCATCATCCAGTAATAGATCGACATGTATCAGAACAACCCGCTCAATTGACATCATTATAGTTTATTAAGGTGATAGGAGACTCCGCAGAAAAGAACAAACCACGATGAGAAGTACCTTTCAAATACTGAATAATACGTCAAACTGCAGCTAAATGAAGATGTGTAGATGCTTGCGTAAATTGACTAACTTGTTGCACAGTAAATGAAATATCAGGACGCGTAATAGTCAGATAATTGAGACTTCCAAGAAGTTGTCGATATAGAGATGGTTCAGATAAAAAGTCACCATCATTCTTTTGTTATTTGACATTTACTTCCAAAGGAGTATGAGCAGAGCGACCATCTTGAAGACCCAAAGCAATGAGTCTCTTTGTATGTTATGTTGATGAAGAAAAATACTGGCAGGAGAAGAGTGAACCTTAAGTCTTAAGAAATAAGTTAATGATCCCAAATCTTTCATATGAAAAGAACCACCCTGAAGACGCTTCTGTAGCTGAAACATCAATTTATTGTCAGATCCTGTGATGACAATATCATTAACATAGACTAATAACAAAACAATTCTCTTGTCAGTTTTACAAAGACTGTCAATTTTACAAAGAAATAATGATGAATCATACTGACTTTGAATAAATAAGAAACTAAGAAAGGTATTGCGAAACTTTTCAAACCAGACCCGTGGAGCCTGTTTCAAACTGTATCAGGATCGTTTGAGCTTACAAACATCATGTGAAGTTGTAAAAAATAATTCTGGAGGAGTCATATAAACATCTTCTTTGAGATCCTTATGTAAGAATGCATTCTTAACATCCATTTATTTTAAGAATCAGCCTTTAGATGCAGCAATAGATAACACCGACCGGACAATTGTCATATTAGCCACAAGTGCAAATGTTTCTTCATAATCAATCCCGTATTCCTAGCAATTTCCAAGAGCTACCAATCTTGTCTTATATCTGTCAAGAAAGCCATCAGATCGGAGTTTAAGAGAGTAAACCTATTTACAACCAATGAGCTTAACATTTGTAGGACATGAAACAATTTCTCAAGTGTGATTGTCTAGAAGTGTCTGAAGTTTCTCTTACATGGCTTTGACCCAACAAGTCTGTTTAGCAGTCTGAAAGTAAGAGGTAGGAACAGTAATATTAGTTAAAATTGTTGAATACCCATATCTATCTGGAGGACGGATACACCGAGTTGATTGTTGAAGATTTATTGGAGCAATTTCTGGATCAGAGTTAGGGAGGATTGAAGGTAAAGGGGGCAAGCATCGTGTGTAGACAATGTCTGACTTGAACCGTTTATTAGCAGAATAATTATCAAATTATGGAAGTATAACTGTATCTGATGTCGATACATGATGCTGTAAATAATATTCATGTTCAAAGAAAATCACATTTCGAGAAATATGTCAGCGACTATTAATTGAATCATAACACACAAAACCTTTATGATTAGGACTGTACCCCATAAAAACATATTGTACTGACTGAACTGCCAACTCATGATGTTCATGAGCAGGTAGATGAACAAATCAAACACATCCGAAAGTATGTAGCATATGATAATTAGAATGTTTATCAAAAAATTGATACTAGGGAGAATCATACTTCAATTGTTGAGATGGTAAACGATTAATGAGATAAACTCCTGTAGATAATGCTTTAGTCCAAAATTTAGCTCAAACAGAAGATTCTATCAGTAATGTGTGCACAATATCCAATAGATGTCAATTTTTCCATTCAACAACTTCATTTAGTTGCTGTGTATTGGAACATGAACGTTGTGAAACAATACATTTGTTATGGAGAAATGCTTGAAACTCATGAGACATGTATTCACTGTCATTTTCAGACCGTATTATGCAAGTGTAGAACTGAGTTTCAACATATGCTAAAAAAGTTTGAAATATAGTAAATACTTCTGCTTTGGAACGCAAAAAATAGATCCAAGTAAATCGATTATAATCATCAATAAATGTCACAAAATATCTAGATTGAGCATGTGAAGTAACTGGTGTAATTCCCAAACATCTCTATGAATAATGTCAAAACATTTATTGACATGACTCCCTGAAATAAGAAAATGTAATCTCTTACTTTTTTCAAGTTTACAAATAGAACAGTCAAATACTAAACTCTTATCTGTAGAATGAAAAACACCACTTTTAAATAAATGTTTCAACACCATATCTGTTTCAACACCATATCATCTTTAACATCATATCATTTGAATGACCTAATCTTTTATGTCATATGCCCACATTATTCTCAACAACTGAAGAAGCTAATGACATATTTCGAGGACTTATGAGAAATATTAAATTGTAATGGAAACAATCTGCCCACTTTAGACCCCTTTGCTATTATCTTCCCTGACACCTGATCCGGCACAATACAACCATCACGAGAATAATGTATGTCACAGTTGTTATCCATAATTTGACCAACAAAAAATAAGTAGATAATTTAGAAGAAACCAAAATATGTCTGAAGGAGGAGTTAATATCACTAACTGTCGTAATTGAAATATTATTTTCATCAGCAACCTAAATATGTTGAGTACCAGTGTACGGTCGTTGGTTATGCGATAAATCAGCTGTGTCAGTCATATGATTTGTAGCATCCGAATCAACAAACCAAGAAAAAGGAACGAAAGTAATAGTTTTACTTTTTTCTTGAAGGTCGAGAGTAGAAAAGCCAGAGAGAATCATCTGTTGAACCATATATGGTGTCACAACTGATTGATTATTGCCAACAACTGTGGATGTCGAGCCAGGATTGTGAGTGTCGGTTACCGTGGCATGAAGTGTTTGTAGTTTGCAGTTCTTGGGTCGTGGTCACTCAGTAATAATATGTCTCTTTTGCTTGCAATAATTACAACACTTATTTTTACAATTCCGTGCTATGTGATTAAATTTCTTGCAGCTTTAGTACTGCACTGTTCCTTTCCCTTTGGTCTGAACATCATATTTAATATTAATTATTTCTGATGATCCACCTGTTGAACTAATAACAGCTTGTGTCGCCAATCTTTGTTCTTCGCGCAGTAATTCACCAAAACAGATATACAAACAAGGAACCAGATCTCTGTTTAGCAACCTAACCTGAGCAGTTTCAAATTCAGGTCCGAGCTTCATTAAAAACTGATCACGACGACTTTCTTCATGAATAACCTGAAGACTAGCTAAGTTCTCATTTGTCATCTTAGCATAGATAATGTCAGTATATTCACTCCATAAATTTAGAAAACCAGAATAATATTATTCAATTGAAAGATTATCCTGACTATAATTACTCATGTCAAGTTCTAATTGAAATAATATTGTTAAATTGAAAGATTTTTTACTATAATTACTCATGTCAAGTTTCAATTGAAAGCGTTTTGCGGAATTATCTTGATTGTAAACACGCTTCAAGTATTCCCACATTTCTTTAGCTGTGCTAAAGGTTCGTAAATTGTTCACCATATGAGCCTCAATATAGATCCCAAAATCCAGGAAACAATTCCAGCATCCTTTGCTTCCCATTAACCAAGATCTTTTGTCTCAGTAGGAGCTGGATAAGACCCATCAATATGGCCCAATAGCTCCTCTTTTAATAACATTCTGAGCTGAATAACATTCTGAGCTGAAATTCCCATGCGACATAATTTTTTCCCGTAAATCTGATAACTAAGATTTCACTAAGGTTTCAGAAGACATTCTAACTAGAATTGTCGTTGATTGAAATCAACTAGAAATCAAAGATAGCCAAGATATCCAGAAATCGAAATCGTTGATCAAAATCAACCAAAAAAAATCGTGCACTACCTTAAATTAGGAGGGGAGTCCGAAGCCAAGGAAAAACCAAGAGATCCAAAAAAATCAAACAAGGCAGAGGAGCAGCGGCTATCACGATCGAACAAGGCGGGAAGATTGCGGCTGTCGCGATCGAACAAGGTCACAGAACTCAAACAAGAACAAGTACGAGCGCTCCCGACGATGCCGGTGAATGATAACAAAAGCTAAAGAATACCAAGTACCAAGGATTCAAACCGATTCAAGCTCTGATACCATGTCAATATTTTGAGCAAATAGGCTAAATGCTTTTACCTTTGCTTTCATTCCAATAAATAATAGTCTGTACAATCTATTTTAGGTACATAATATTTTGTATAATCTATTTCAGGTAACTTAATTAATACATATTCTTAATCTAACTATTCAGCTAAAAGGAAATAATCCATGCAAATATAATATTTTCTTCTTTGCAACATTGCGAAGAAGGAAACTCTTTATTCTGTCTGTTCTTTATTCTGTCTGATTTAATTTACTCTTGATTGATATTGCAGAGGCGGAATTAGGTTATATCCAGGGTGGTAATTGCCCCCACTGGAATTTGTAATTTTTTCTATATAAATAGTAAAATTTAGATATTTAATAATTTTGCCCACCTTAAAAAACAATGCTTGTGCCGTCCCTGATCTAGTGCATCATCCACACTAATTCACACTCCATAGCAAATGCTATAATTAGAAAATTCTTACTTTGTAAAATATAGAATGAAATCTGCTCCTTAATGTTTTTGTATTTTTGTTGTTACCCATACATCTATAGCTTTTTTTCAGGAAAGGTTTTGTCTTTACAGCACTGGTGACAAGTGTGGCTGGTTTTCTAAGTGCATTCGCTCCCAATTACATATCTTTGGTCATCCTTCGATTTTTTGTTGGTGCTGGCTTGGGGGGTGGACCAGTTCTCTTCTCTTGGTTTCTTGAGTTTGTTCCTGCTCCCAGCAGAGGTTCATGGATGGTGTTCTTTTCCTTTTTTTGGAGCATAGGCACAATCTTAGAGGCTTCACTTGCTTGGGTATGATTTCTTTCTCAATGTCAACAAAAACTTTCTTTGAAGTTTAATTTCTTTTTGTTTATATGAAAAATTCTCTTTTTCTTCTAATGTGTGTATTTTTCCTTCATTATCATAATAAAATGTTAAATATCTATGATGGTTCTCAGAGCTATTTTTACACAATTCTTTTAATGCTTCACATTCTTTTTGGGTTTAAACTTCAAATAATCTCATGTCTATTCATATGATTAATTTTTCCTAGTGTTTGTTTTCTCCAATGTATTCCTCAATATACATAATTGATAAAAAATGGACTTTTCAGAACTAAATTGGGATAAATTTAATATAATAATGGGACTAAAATGAGACAAATTTTGTATCATGATTTCTACACGAGGGACCATATTGATTCAATGTTATAAAGTTGAAGGACTAAATTGTAAACATATGATATAGTATGTCCAGATAAATATACTTCCTCCAGAATTTCTCATCTCAAATTTCAACATTTGGAGCATAAACAATGCCTTATACCTTAATAAACTATCTTGATCTAGCACATACTTCTCTAAATTGCCCGTCTTAACCTGCTCAATAACTTTTTGAATACTATTATCTCTAGTTAGAGAAGCTCAAATTCTGCCCTTTAAAGTTGGCTGCACCATCAACTGATATAGTTGAACTATGTCATCATCACTAGAATCAACTATAGATAACATCAACCTCTCCAGATCTTTAATTAACTGCTTCTGCTGAGTAAATAAATAGTTAAAATTATCTGAAGCTTTTCTACTCAGCGTATCAACAATGAAATTCATTTTCCCCAGATGTACTAAATACCTAAATAATAATTTTTAATAAATTCTAGCCATCTCATCTGCCTCAAGTTCAACTCTGAGTCAAGATATATTTCAAACTCTGGTGGTTAGTAAAAATTTCACATCTAACTTCATAAAGATAATATCTCATATCTTAAGTGCAAATACAACTTCAGCAAGCTCCAGGTCATGTGTAGGATAGTTCCTTTCATGATTCTTCAATTGTCGTGATGTAAATGCAATGGCCATACCATGCTGCATAAGTGCACATCTCAAACCCTCAAAGATGCATCGCTGAAAATTTGAAACCCAACAGAACCTGAAGGAATGGTAAAAATTGGAGCAGATATTAAACAAGTCTTCAACTCTTGAAAAGGTTCCTCACAGCGATCAGACCAGTCATACTTCACTATCTTTTGAGTCAACCTGGATAATGACGTAGCAATCTGTGATAACCTCTCAACAAATATTTTGTAATAACCAACCATACCTAGAAAACTCCTGACTTTTGTGACAGTAGGAGGTCTTGACCAATTTACAATCGCTTTAATCTTATTTTGATCCATAGATATGTCGTCTCAACTGATAATATGCCCAAGAAAAGTTACACATTTAAGTCAAACTTCACATTTAGAAAATTTGGAATGAAGTATGTTCTCCTTCGAAACCTGTAGCACTATCACGACCCCACCTAGGGCTTGAAAATAACCAAGACGGGTATAGAAAAGGCAGACGGTGTTAATTAAATTTTTTAGATTAACTTAAAATTAACAATGAAAGAGCCATATAAATTAAATTATAGCGGTACAATTAAAATTACCTCATTACTGGTTGTCTCTGTCTTCTATAAATATTTTATCGTCTATCGCTCTTCTTTTAATAATCTAATTAAACATAAAAAGTTAGTTAAAACAACTGTGAACTAAACAAGTTAGTGAATACTTTTATTCCTAAACTATAACAATATAAGGAAAAGAAAGAACAATATACATGTTAGTTAAAATTCTTTATAAATCAATATAAATATTTGACACACTTCAAAATATTCTATATCATATCAATAACATTTCATATTTATACAACCGTTACAGGAGATACCGTCAAAAAATTGTGTCAATTAAGATGCATCAATATCAAACTTTTATTCCATTTATGTGCACGTGTACATTTGTTTTCTCCCACTATACCATCAAGGGGTGCTTCATCTTAGCCAGTCATGCTTAAATAAGCAGTTATCATAAACATATGTATCCATCACATTCAATATACACCAAATGCACTAGTACATAGCTACAACATTCGTAGCAATATTTCCAAAAAAAAATTAATATCTCAATCAGAATAAATTATGCACAAATATCATTAACAACAAACATATTTGAGGATAAATAAATTATTATTATAGTTTAACAACACAAGTATGCACCTCGATGACGCATAATTTGCTATCAGACTTGACGTCGATTTTTCTAAAAATTGAAAGCCTAACATGGTACTTAATTTACCCGGTCAACGCATTCTAATTAAAAATAAGCATTGGGAGTTGTGCAACAAAAAAGTGACTGTCTAGATCATCGCAAAACGGACACTCGCCATCTATCCATTTGGATTACTAGCCCTTGATAAGCCAAAATATCATATCAGGAAATCGAATGGTTGAGGTTGAATGACCAAGACCGAATGATCGAGACCAAATGACTGAAGCCAAATGACCCATATTCTAAGACCCAACATCCAAGTCTTCATGATTCAACAATGCAGTTGGAAGTTGGCCTTTCCCAAGACGCCTAATCATGATAGAGGTAAATTTGATTGGGGTAAAGGGATTCACATCTATAGGCTCATGGGAAATAGGCCCATATATGTCATTTTATGAGGGTCAACCACTATAAATAAAGGAAATTAAATGTAAACAAGGATCAACTCTTTACCAAAGAAACATTTTCTCATTTTTTGAAGAATCTTTTCATCTTATGGAACACACCGTAATGCAACAAATCCAAGAGCTTAAGGAGCAGATAATGAAAGTAATTAGAGAGATGCTTGCCTAGGTGATGGTCCGACCATCTCAACTGGGGGGCCCACCACGCCAGAGAAGGGAGCTTGATGTCGATGTCAGAAGAACCCTCTCACCAACCTTGAGTACAATGCTAAAATAAACCTGCTAATTACTTCATTACGAGCAATAAATGTAACATATAACAAGTATAAAATATGAATACAAATGAAGTAGCAAAGGTATGACTAACAATCCTACAAAGTAACTAGAAATCTAGCACAAATAATGATAATTAATGCCCCTAACGACGAATGGTAAGTTTATTCCATAATAAATAACAGTCACTTATCTCGAAGCGACAAAAATAAAACTTCTAAATATTTCAGTGATTCAACTAATTCTGAGTAACGGTCCCACACAAATTAGAATTTAAACTATAAGAGATTATGTAAATAGAGATATTAACCTAATTAAAGTTATCCCTCCCTTAAATTATTATAATAATCAAATAATTAATTTAAATTTACTCTATATATATGTTTATTCATGCAAATATATATACACACACACACACATATGTACATACATGCATACATTTTCTTTTTTTTTTCAAAATATTGGTCAAAGGGCAAAGGTTGGAGCCTCCAACCAACTCCATGTGACTAATTTGAGGCAAGGCTCGAACCCGTGACTCTCGGGGTCTTACAAAAGTTGCCACCTAATGAGCCACGGTGGTGTCACACACACATATATATAAGAAAAAATGAAAGGAGAACTAATGAGCCACGGTGGTGTCACACACACACACACATATATATAAGAAAAAATGAAAGGAGAGGAGGGGCTGACAATGCTGAGCTATCGAGGAAGGAGGAAGGGATTTTGGCTCGTTGCCTTTGGCGAGGGCCAGGAAGAGTGGGGAAAGAGGGAGAAGGAGAGAGCTGCTGTGATCGATGACTGGGAAAAGGGGAGTTGGTGGGATGAGTCGAGGTGACTCTCAACCCCTCGATTGCAAATTTATATGGATTTGAGGCGGTGCGATCGAGCAATTTGGGAAGTTGGCATCAACGAGATCACTAGAAAAAAGGAAAAAGATCACACCATCTGGAAGTTGGCTTGGCAATGAGACTGAAGATCGAGCGTGGGAAGTTGATCTAGAAAACGGCGAGCAAAATAGGAAATAGAATTTTGAAATCAACGGATTCAGAAGGTGGCAAAGAAAAGATCGCGTTAAAGAGAATAGTGATTGCATTAAAGAGAGTAGCGATTGCTGCAAGAGGAAAAAGAAAGTTCAGATCTTAGAGATTCAAGGACAAATTTGAGCTATTCTTATCCTTAAACATATAAAAAAATATCTTATAAAAGTTTTGCTATAACTAAATTTGAGCGCTTGAATGCTTGCATGTTCTTTGTTGTCAATTATTTTGGCTTAGTAGAGGTACGAGTTCAACATTAGTATATTGTTCTTTTATTTGGGCTAATTTGGTCATTTAAAGAAGTAAAAAATAAATTATTTTAATCAAATCTACTGCTAAAGCTACATACAAAACTAGGAATCAGTTTGCATGTTAAATGATATGCATAAAAACTCGTTTTAGGAAAATGTGTTTTTTTATTGACAGCGACTTTATATATGTTTAAAAATACAAGAATTTGACACCACTGCTAGAAGATCTAAATCCCTGACAATGACACCAAAAACTTAATGCAACTTTTAATATGCAAGAATTTATGAACCCAAATTTATATATTTATAATGATTTTGTAAAGTCACAATTTCAAACGCAAGTATACGTATCAATCAAGTAGTACAAGGCTCTAGTGGAGTCCCGTTTATCGATCCCACAGTCAAATTCGAATCTACTACTATTAGTTCTTAGTTGGAAGTGCGATTTAAGAGGTTTTACTAACAAATACTCCTAAATGTAAGTCTTAAGTTTAACAAAACTAATAACTACTCCTAAATGCAAGTGTTACATGTAAAGATAGTAACTATAACTAAATGCAAATATTAATTCTAAAGAATTTCTGGAGGAATTAGTTTGGAGAATTTTGAGATAATAAAAACTAGTATTCTATTTTTATGTAATGAATTAGATAATGTAAAGAAACGAGATGCATTAAATATTGTATGTGTCAAATATGAGCAATCTTATTCTTTATCCTTTGGTCCAGGCATAAAGAACATTGACTATTCCTATGCTTGTTTACTAAATCTATGGCTAGGCTGGGAGGATACCGACTCTCACTTCGGAGCTCCCA